ATTGGCTTCAGGAATTCTGGAGGTTTCTGAACTCTCACTTTAATGAGTTAACTTTTTTTAGGGATATACCTCTTATACCTGTCAGTCCCCTGTCTGGTAGTCAGTGTGTTTCACTGGCAAAACTACAACAGAAGACAACCCTAATTTTCCAGAAAAGAGGACAGAGCAGTTTACCAGACCAGTTAGCTCAGCTAGTGACCAAAGCTGGCGGCACAGTGGTGAGAGGGAATGACTGGCTAAAGCATGTAGACCTTGAAACTTATGTTCTGAGTCCATCTCCAATGAGTGTTATGAAGGTGTTGATGAATTTAGACTTTCAGCAAGTCATCAGGAATGTAATATGTGCACCTAAAACAGCACGAGAGGAACTGAAAGACTGTTTGTGCCATCTAGATTCCCTCTCAGGTCCAGAGAAAGATTTTCTCATAAGGCTGCCTCTGTTTCAAACTACGACAGGTTCCTGGGTCACAGCTCAGTCAAAACAGGCTTTGGTTTTAACGTCTGGTCCTGGTTTAGCCCCACAACTGCCTGTGCCAGATTCGGTTATCCAGTGTACTACTGAAGCTGATCGCAGACTTTTACAGCTGCTGAAGGTGAATCTCTTGGGTCCAGCTGAAGTAGGCATTATCCTTGTTGACAGGATAAAACAGGGTGCCTGCAATAGTCAAGATACAGAGAACATAATGACCTGGATATTGCAGCACGGGAATATCCTTTTCTCACAAAATCAGTCCCTGAAAAAAAGATGCAAGGAACTAAGATTCATCCAAGGGAAAGGAGAGTTGAAAAGGGCTTCAGACTTTTTTGATCCGAGAGTGAATGACTTCAGAGTCATCTTTGAGTCAGATTGTTTTCCCCCACCTGTATACACAGAAGCACCACAGATATTGGAAAGTCTGATAGATCTTGGATTGATCAACAAAGAGGCAGATTTGACACCTGAGCATTTGTTATATGCCACCAGAATTATTGAAAAACAAAAAGTGAACTCTGAGGGTGAGGCCCTTCAAAGAGCTCAGGTCCTCTTGGAAATGCTGGATGCTTGTGATCTACTGTCAAAGTTTTCAAATGCACAACTTAATACTCTTAAGAAGACTAAATGGTTCCCATGTGATCAACCCCTTATTGAAAATAGAGACATCTCTAACAAATCTACACAAATTTTCTACAACCCAGAGGAAATAAGACACACTATGTATGAGGACATTGTTGGAGAGGTGATGCCTTTAATAGGGAAGCTCAGTGAGAGAGTTAACAACAAGCTTGGCTTGAAATCTCTGCCTCCACCTGAGAAAGTGATAAAAAACTTGTCAGTCCTAAAATTAAAAGTACAAGACATGGATGAACCTGATACCAATGTTGATTTCAAACGAAAGCTGCATAGCATTTACAGGCACATGCAAGAAAACATCTCTGCATTTGTAGAGTTAATGAACACTGAGACAGACTGGTTGTGGGCCAAGGGCAAATTTGTTTCCCCCCGTGAGTTGGTCCTTAACTACCCTCATGATCTGGATCTAAGCTCTTACATTGGGAAGGTGCCAAATGAATTTTTACCATACAATAAGCTGCTTCAGAAGTTTGGTCTGAGAATATCACTTTCAAATAAAGACATTGTTGGCATGCTTCATACCATTCAGCAAAACATTGAAGCAAGACAACAGCCATTTGCAAGTCCAGCTGAGGTGAAAGTGTCCATAGAGATTCTCAAGTGGTTATGGAAAACAAAGCAAACTGTCCAGGGTGATATCCCTGTCCCAGTAATAACAGAGAATGAACAGTTCACCCTTAAACCACAATCAGAAGCACTTCTTTGTGACGTAAGCAGACATAAACTGAAAGAGCTTCAGTACCACGAGGGGAAAATGTATATACTACACGAAGAAATCCCAATAGCAGCAGCTGAATGGATGAACATTAGATTTCTCAGTAATTACATCCTTGCTCCAGAGCTTATAGGTATTGAGCAATGTGGACAATCTGAGCCAATAACTACAAGGATAAAAAACATCCTTAAAGAGTATGATGAAGATGGTGACATCTTTAAGGAGCTCATCCAGAATGCAGAGGATGCTGGAGCTGATGCCTGTAAATTTCTAGTGGATTTCAGAGAACACAAAGATCCTCCAGAAAGTCTTATTGATCCTGACATGGCCCTTTGTCAGGGTCCATGTCTTTGGGCTTTCAATAACAAGCAATTTACAGATGACGATTGGAGAAATATTATCAGAGTTGGATCAGCCTCAAAGGAAAACAAAGCTGAAAAGATTGGAAAGTTTGGACTTGGATTCAATACAGTTTATCATGTGACAGATGTTCCCTCAATCCTGAGTGGAAGCAAACTTCTTATACTTGATCCAAATGTGGCTCACCTAGGAAAGCACATTAGCTCAAAGACAAATCCTGGAATAAAACTGGATCTTTCTGTAAAGAGACTTTTTCATTGCTTTCCCAGTCTTTTTGGACCATATGAAGGTATTTTTGAATGTAACTTCACACAGAAATGTCCTCCAGAACCGTATGATGGCACTCTAATCAAACTTCCTTTCAGAACTGAAAAAGAGGCTCAGAAGTCAAATATATGCACAAAGGCATATCACAAAGAAGATATCACTGGCTTGTATCAGAACTTTATGAAAAATTCACAAACTCTCCTACTTTTTCTCAAGAACATCAATACGCTGTCCCTGGGAAGTATCTCCAGTAGAGCAACAACTTTAAAACCAGATGAAGTGGAAACAATCCTTTCCATGTCAAAAACAGTATTGAGCATTCCAGTTGAAGATAAAACTATAATATTTAAGCAACGCCAAGCTGAGACTTCTCTGTTGAAACACGATTCCCAATGCAAAAATATAATCGACAGCAGCACAGTCAGTATTGTCCATATCTATAGCCAGCATTCTAACAAAACTGAACAACAGTCTTGGCTCATTTACAGCTGTTTTGGCACAGGTCAGTCTTTGAAAATGTTTCTTCAACCAGAAGGGAAAGCTGTGTTCTCATTGCCAATTGGAGGGATTGCTGTGCCTTTGCAACAAGATACAGAAACTGGAAAATTCTTTCCTCCAAAAACAGATCTTATTGGACAAGCATTTTGCTTCCTTCCTCTTCCAATTCAAACTGGGCTTCCTGTTAATATCAATAGTACATTTGCTGTGATGAGCAACAGAAAAGGTCTGTGGGAAATTGGAGTGAAACATGAGTGGAACAAGGCTCTTCTAGAGGATCCCTTGGTGACAGCCTATGTTACAGCACTTTTGGCACTAAAAAAAATGTCAGAAAATGGGGAACTTGGGGCTTATTGTTATCACACCTTTTGGCCTGAGAGAGAGAAAGTGAGTGATACATTTAAGCCTTTGGTGGATGAATTTTACTCTAATATTGCTCAGTCTTCCACTGGTCCAAAACTGTTTTTCAATGGAGAAAACTGGTGCTCAATGGACAATGCAATCTTTTTACATGATAGCATAGAAGAAAATGGCAAAATCAATCAACTTGCAGCTCAGGTGTGCAAAAAACATGTAGAGGCACCAAACTGTGTTGTTCCTCTTCCTCTTTGGTTAAGAAAGAGTTTCAAACAGGCTGGCTTGAAAACGATTTTACAGAACCGGACTTGGACCTGGGAGAAATTTTATCAAGAAGTGGTATTCAAAAACCTTGATGCCATGGACCCTAAGACCAGAGACACTCTCGTGTTGCATGCAGTTGACCTCAACCTGAAAGAAATTGACAGTCTGCTGACATCTTATCCTTGCATACCAACAAAAGATGGAAATCTT